AACTCCAAGTTTCCTTTCCTAGAACTCTATCCCTGGAGTGCCTGAACTACGGATGTTGTAAGAGAGAGATGCAGTTTCTCATACTTCTTGCTGGTAGATGTGTCCATATGACTTTGTTCTGACCAACACAACAAAAGCACAAAAGTGATGGCTTCTGAAAAGGTGTTTTCTGATCCACATACTAAGTCTTTTCGCCTTTCCTTCATTTCCTGCCTGAAACAGAAACTGAGAAAGGGAGCTGAAGCCCAGATCTTTGGGCCATGAGGTGGGAAGCAGCCAGAGGAAGGCAAGTGTGATAAACATGACTGATTGGAAAGGTGGGAGGAACCTGCTGACATCCTTCAGAGGCTAACCAGTTTTGAATGCTACCTCAATAGACATCATTTAAGGTCTTCTGTTATTTACAGAGAACATAGTTCTGATGCATAAAGTATTTGTTATTTTTGTTTTATGTGTAAGTGTATTGCCTGCATGTATGTAAGTGCATCTGTGCTGTGCAGTGCCCAAGGAGCCAGAAGAGGGCATTGGATTCCCCTGGAACTAAGTTACGGACATATGTTAAGAATGCTGGTTGCTCTTGCAGAGGGGTCAGGTTTGATTCCCAGCCGTCTCTTCAGCCCCTTTAATGTATAATTATAAACAACACCATGCAAGAATTACATTAAGCCGCAGCAGCACAAGCATTAGATAGTTTAAGGATTACGTCAGTGTGTATAGTACACGGCTAACCTCAGATAATCTTCTACTACTTTAAAAGTCATCATATCATCAGAAGCAATAAACGTAGACTGATTCTAGGATCCCCTCCTGTATGAGGTTTGTGGGAAGCAGATATGGTACACAAGGCAGGGCATGGTCTGAGGCAGTGGTATTGGGGCTGTCAGTTCCCTATGCATAGGCTTCATTCCACCCTTCCTGGTTTCACTCAATGTGGTTTATAGTCTCAGAGGTTTTACAGCTGTTCATGAAGTTTTTCAGTGGCCTCTTGGTCTTAGAGGTTTGGTTATCATTAGTTTTGTATAGAGTTTGAAATATGGAAATTTGTGCCTTAATCCCTTCAAATTCTGATTATAGACATTGAAATACATTAACTTGCTATTCTCTTCAAATGATGGCTAACATGGTGTGTGCAGGTAATTTAAAGGAACTGACTAAATACTAAAATGGAAACTACTGATTTACTCTTAAACAAGTTTTCATGCTGTTACAGAGTTCTTTTGCTTACAAAAATGATTTTTTATTTTTTATTTTATGTGTATGAGTATTATGCCTGCATGTGTGTTAATGCACCCATGTTGTCCAAAGGAGGACAGAAGAGGGGGTTGGATGGGGTGTCAGATCCCCTGGAATTGGAGTTACAGTTGACTGTTAGCCACCATATGGGTGCTGGGATTCGAACCTGGATCTTCTGCAAGAACGGTCAGTGCTCTTAACTGCTGAGCCATCTCTCTAGCTCCTACAAAAATGGTTTGTTCTGGGTTTACTCTTTCAAGCCCCTTAAACCACCTGTTGAGCATGCACCTTCCTTAATCTTACTAAGTACTTGACTACAGAAAACCTAAAACGGGACTCTCACTATGGAGATAATGTGCATACCAGTCCATGTTCTCCCCCAGGTTTATCTCTAAAGAAACACTTTACCTCAACCCAGGTCTCTCAAGGGCCAAGAGAAGTCCCACCACCATCCTTGTGGGACCAGGCATTGCAGGTTCTGATGCCTTGGGTGCTGCCACCCTAGCCATGGGTAATAAAGATTTTAGGTTTCTAAGCTCTCAGACAGAGACATTAGACGTCTACAGGACCCCATCAGGCATTTGGAGAGACAGGTTAACGCCCTCACTGAAATGGTGTTGCAGAACAGAAGGGGACAGCCCCACTGTTCCTAAAGAAAGGTGGCTCATACAGGGCCTTAGGTGAGGTTTGTTGTTTTTACACCGATAATTCAGGTATAATTGAGTTTTCCTGGGCCTCTGGTAATCCTCCCAGCCTTTACTGTGGGTCCATGCCTCCTAAATTGCCTAGCTGGTTAGATCAAGAGGTGCCCAAATACCATCAAAATTAGGGTTCTAAGGACCTAATATGAGCCTCAAAATCAAAGCAAGTAAAAGATTTGACTTATGTCCTAGAGCCAGTGGGGAATGTAATACCCCAAAGGCCTCCATTTTATGTAAGTTTAACTGGTCAATCATCTGGTCATAGGCCCATCCCTAGGAAGGCAGGTTATACTAAATAGATGGGCGGAATACCTAGTGCTAATGAGATAGCAACTTTTTCTTTCCTGTAATCCTGGGGACAGTGGGGGGTGGGGTGGGGCAGAACTTCCTAATTACAGCCATGCAGTCTGTGAGTTGCCCACTTCCCTGAATTCTTCAGGGAAGCATAATTTCCCTTTTTCTTCTTCTTCATGCCTCTCTTACTAAACATGCTTTCTTTAAGGCTTTGGGCTGCCCCTAGCATCTTGTATTTCTTCACTTTTTCTCTAAAGCTTCCTTCTCCCAGCCATGTGGCTGCCACTCAGCCACACGTCTGACCCCCCAGGCAGGCTCTATGGCTGGCTCTCTTCCTACCCTTCACCTCCTCAAGGCAGCTGCCAAGATCAGTAGCTCACCTGCCCTGAGGATTTCTTTTTCTTTAAAATTCTAATAAAATTGTAAAAGCTTAAACAAAATGGTTTGTAAGTTGTAAGGTGTTAAATATAAATCCCATTTCCTTAGTAACGTAGCTCTTCAGCCACACAGCACTGAGTTGGTATTCTATTCTGTGTACATCTATTCATTTTTTTTTCCTTTAGAAATTATTTGCCTTTCTTTTTTGTCTCTTAGAAGTTAGACATGGAAGTGGAACTCCAGCTTGAAATACTTCAGTTTGTAAGCCTTGATGAAATTGATATGGTGCTCAATCTGATCGCTTGCAGTGCAAGACTCAAGAATCCATGTATCAGGAAAGTCCAAGTTTTGTGGCTTTATGCATGTGTATCTAAGAGTTAATATCAGTAAAAGTATTTTGGTTCATTTTCATAACTGATGCTAGACATTGTATTAAGAGGAGTCATTACATATGGTTAAAATGATAAGGATTTTACGGTAATTTTAAATGGATAGCATTAAAAAGTAATCAGACTTAATAAAAAGACAAAATTCTTTTTTCATAAAAGTATTGTGCTGGATAGTGTCATTTGCCAACTTGACACACCTGGGTGGAAGGATCCTCAATTGAAGAACTGTTTTCATTGGATTGACCTGTGGTCATGTCTATGGGGCATTTTTTTGATTGTTGAGTGATGTACAAAGGCCCAGCCCACTGTGGGCTATGTCAACCCTGGGCAGGTGGTCCTGTATTGTATGAGAAAGCAGGCTGAGCATTGGCCAGAGGAGCGAGCCAATAAGCAGCATATCTCCATGGTCTGTGCATCAATTCCTGCCCTGAACTCCTGTGCCGATTCCCCTCCATGATGAACTGTGAGCTGTAAACCAAATAAACTCTTCCCTCCTCAAGTTTTTATCTCAGTAACGGAGAAGCAAACTAGAACAAAAATTGATACCAGAGAGTGGGATATTGCTATGATAGATCTGACAATATGTGTCTGGGAGGAATGTGGAAAAGTGCTTAGCTCAGTGAATTGCTCTGTAGAACTTGGAAGACAATGCTGCAAAAGGCATAGATGATGGAGGCCCGGCTCCAAGGGAAGCAAAAATTAGGGCTGTTTGTGTGATATTTTGAATTGAGAATCTGGTTTCTGGTCAGGGTGAAAGAACCAGCTGTGATTAACAAGAACCACTGAAGTGAAACCCTTGCTTTACTGGGCCAGTTGATGCTGGTCACCTGGGGCTGAAAAGAATCAGCTCCGATTAAGAAGAGAATAGCATCATTGAGGTGAAATCTTCTGGGAAATATTTCCTCAGGGTCAGAACACAAAAGCTGTGACCCAGAGGGGACCCGAGGCTCTATCTCAAGCTGGAAGCAGGATTTGGTAATGTGTAAGAGTCACCTATATGATACGGGTTTTGAAGGTGTGAAGGGAGCAGCTGGAGGCTTGACACTGTGAGAGGCCAGGAAAGACTATTGGTGATGATGCAGCCTCAGTTTCAGTAGAGACCCCACCATATTGGAGATGCCAGGATGGTGGGACAACCACCAAGGGCAGTGACAGGTATGGAATGAAGCCTGCCTGAGCCTTCGAGACAAGCTGTGTGTGTGTGGTGTGGACGGTGGAGTCAGAGAAGTGGAGCTGCCCAAGCCCTTTGGACCCCAGAAGATCAAGTGTGAATCCCAGATGTCCAACATTGAGCTATGTTGCTGAACTTAGGTTTTACTTAAATGTGCCCAGTTCTTTCTTTTTGAGATAAGATAGTGTATAACTTCTGGATTTTACAGGAACCCACAGTTGAGAGACTTTGGAGTATTTTAAAGAAACATTGAGCTTTTGAAGTGTTTGAAGTTTTAAGGACTGTGGGACTTTTAAACTTGTACTGTTTTATGATATTAACGAGATCTTGGGGATAAGAAATAGTGATGTGTTTGTGTCAAGTTGACAAGGGGTCAATTGTGCTGGAGAGCTTCAGGTGTCAACCTGACATACCTGGGTGGAAGGAACCTCAGCTGAGGAGTTATCCCCATTGGATTGGCTGTGACTATGACTGTGGGGCATTTTCTTGCTAAGTGATGTGGGGTGCATTTTTTTGATTGTTAAGTGATGTGGAGGGTCCAGCCCTTTGTGGGTAGTGCCACTCTTGGGCAGGTAGTCTTGTATTGTATAAAAAAGCAGGCTGAGCACAGGCCAGAGGAGCAAGCCAGCACGCAGTATACCTCCTTAGCCTGAGCTTCAGCTCCTGCCCTGACCTCCTGCCCTGGTTCTCCTCCATGATGAACTGTGAGCTGTAAATCCAATACCATCCCCCCCCAGTGGTTTTGTCAGTGTTTTTCTCCCAGCAATGGAGAAGCAAACTAGAATAAATATTAACAGAACTACAGTAATGCAAATAATATCTCTTCCATATTAAACGACAAATCCAAATGTTCATATTGATTTCTCATACTCTAATAATCAAGAGAAACAGAAAAAGGCACCAGTCAAATAACAAGCCGGCACATGAACACTGGGTAAGTTGTACACGATTAGCTTCACCTCAGCAGAATTTAGCAATAGATCTTCTGGAACAACCAATGTGGCAACATTGTTCCCTCAGTGGCTTATCAGAATTTCTCTTTCTCCGTGAAGCGGGACTGATGTCTTCTGTTGCCTTCTGCTCCTGGGGCAAATTTGGAGTGACTCCCAACACGGTATCTAAAGGTTCTGCATCTTTGTTGTGGTAGTATGGTACAATTTCTGTTAGGTTTCAAAGAAGTGGGGAGGGGGAGAAAAATATTCATGTCAGGAGGCATTAGAGAAACTACAAACATTTGTATAGACAGAGAAAACACTACTTGGATATAATTAAACATCGAAACACAATCACCAGGTATCATAATGTCTACAGTTTTGCTCACTGGGCAGCTCAGATAACTATCTCAGCTTCTCCCTCCATTTGACCTTCTGTTGTCTCTCTTCATCTGTGTTTCCACTTTATTGATTTTATCGCAGTTATTTTCACCCTTTGACACTGATGTCTCAGTTTTCTGAACTCATGTTGGTCATTGAAAACGCATCTCCTTTTGTTTTTTTTTAATGTTTTAATTTTTGTGTATGAGTACATTGCCTGAATGTATGTATGTAAGTGCACCTATATCATGCAATGCCTGTGGAGGTCAGAAGACAGTGTTAGATTCCCCTGGAACCGGAGTTACGTACAGGTGTTAGTCTCTTTGTGGGTGCTCTTCCCACACAAACCCAGATCCTCTGCAAGAACAATCAGTGCTCTTAACCATTGAGCCATCTCTCCAGCCCCTGTTAGTTTTTTGTTGAGACAGGGTCTTACTGTAGCCCCACCTGGCCTGGAACTAGCTATGTAGACCAGCCTGGCCTGACCTCACAGTGATCTGCCTGCCTTTGCCTCCTGAGTGCTGGGAATAAAAGTGTGTGTCACCACACTTGGCTCATTTTCATTCTTTTAACCTGAGTAATTTTCTTCATTGCTAACAAATTTTTGACCTATGACAGTAACCCTTGAAAAGTATTTTCTTGTTGTTTTTGTTTTTGTTTTTGTCTTTTTGAGACAAGGGTCTCCCTGTAGCCCCAGCTGGCCTGGAACTCACTTTGTAGTCCAGGGTGGCCTCTCGAACTCACAGAGATCCGCCTGCCTCTGCCTCCTGAGTGCTGGGATTACAGGCATGCACCACCATGCCCGGTTTATTTTCATTATTTTAAGATGTTGACTATCCCATGGTGTTAAGTTACTGCTTCAAGCTAAAGTTAAAGACAGAATTGGGAACAGTTCAGAACTAACCAGCAGGGGATGTATTATTCTCAAGTATTCATGTAGCAATCCTCCTTCCCCTGAGCATTTACTCCATGTAAATAGTATTATATATTCAAGGGAGAAATAGATTTAAAAGAACACTAGTACCAAACCACAAGCTTCTCAAAGACATTAGTGTCTTCTGTGATATATGGACCAATGTTCTATGTATGGTGTGAAGTTTCTCCCGTGCTGTGAGTCACAAACTATGTTGGTCATTTACAGTTTGGAATCTAGGTTGAACACCTACTAGAACCAACTGACCTCTTCCTCCTCCTTAAGAATTTTTTTTTTTTTTATGAGTATAATGCCTGCATGTAGGTAAGTGTACCCATGTCATGCAATGCCCTTGGAGTTCAGAAGAGGGCGTCGAATTCCCTGGAGCTGGAGCCACCATGTGGGTGCTGGGAATTGAACCCAGGTCCTCTGCAAGAGCAGTCAGTGCTCTTTACTGCTGAGCCATCTCTCCAGTCCCTTCTTCCTTTTCTTATTCAGTTTAGTTAACATTCACATACTGTTTCCATGTCTGTGGCAAGGCCAATTAGATTATTATTTTTTGACTTTTTTGAGACTCTCCCTATAGCCCCAGCTGGCCTGGAACTGACTATGTAGACCAGGCTGGCCTTGATCTCAGCAATCTGCCTGCTTCTGCCTCTCAAGTGCTGGGATCAAAGGTATGTGCAATATCACACCTGGCTCGGTTAGGAGATTTAAAAAGAAAACATTTCTTGCCTTAAAAATAGTCTTTTCAGTAACATAAATCCTCCCGTAGCCTTACCTATGCCAATGCACAATTTAGGAGTTTTAGCAAAGAAATTGGAAATACTGATGAATTTATAGTACAAACCTGGTTCAGTTCTTTCTTCTGTTCTTCATGGGTAGCAGATATGTCAGTTCATTAATAAGGCATTACTCTTGAAGTAATAAATAGAAACCAAGAATCCGAAAGGTCCAAATGTAAGTGTGGAAGAGTGATGCCTGATTAGGGTGTCCGGGGACTCGGCTACTTCCTGAATCGTGTTCTTTTAGCCAGCAACAAACTTCAACCATTGGAATTTGGCCGAGGGAAAGTATTTATGATGTTATCACCCTATCTTTCCTCCCATGGCTCCCTCTCATTCAAGATCTAAAACAAGGGTGACAGTGACGTTCTACACACCATATGTATACCAGAAGTTTAGCCTTTTTAAGACAGCTTAACTTTGACTCACCTTACTCATTAACAATCTCTTTGCTCTTTCTCTAGATAGGGCTTTATTAAACAAGTAAGCGGATAACTTTCTATATTCTTAAAGCTAGTAAAGATCCAAGATGTTACACCAGGTGTGGTGGCGAGTGACTTTAATCCTAGCCCTTGGGAGGCAGAGGCAGGTGGATCTCTGCAAGATCAAGGTCATCCTGGTTGATATTATGACTTCCAAATGGACTGTGGCTAGGGAGACCCTGTCAAAAAACAAAAAGATCAAAAAAAAAAAAAAAATCCAAGCAGTTGCAGTTTGTATTAAAGTTTAACTTACAAGCTTTGTGTCTTACAATCTTTTATTTAAAAATTAATTTTTAACTTATTTTGAAACATTTGTAATCCACATTTTTAGTTTATAGATACTAGACTCAAAATATTCTAAACTATCTTAATTCATACAAGTGCACACATTTTAATCACTGTATTTTGGATTCCAAAATAATTCATCTCAACAAGGCCTTAGTGATGAGTCCAAAGGCACATTCCTTTCTTTCTGATCCTCTTCAATTTTCCCTTCAGTCATCTAGCCACTTTTGTTTCTCACTTTCCCCACCCTCTCAGCTGAACTGCATGACTCAACTCAAAGAGGCAGAAAAAGTGGTGGCAAAGCCTTTACTTCCAACAAGCAGGCAGATCTCTCTGTGAGTTCGAGGCCAGCCTGGTCTACATAGAGAGTTCCAGATTACCCAGGGCTGCATAGTGAGACCCTGTGCAAAAAAAATAAATAAATAAAAGAAAAACAAACAAAAAGGTGGAAGGTAAGGCTTTGCCCATGAAGTGCATTTAAAAAGCAGGAGGGGAGCATTCTCCAAGCCAGAGACCACAGCTCAGGTCTTTGGACTAGGAGAAAACTAGATCTGAGCCCGACCCTATGTGCCACTCAGGACTGCGCCTCCCTGTATGGCAGCTGCCTCCTCCAGGAGCACAGACAGGCTTGCTAGACACCTCATTGCCACCCCTTAATCTCAACCAGAGATGCTTATTCCAGGTGCTGCGCTATCCCACTCTTCACTGTTTAGTTTTTCTGGGAGTTCGGGAGTGCGCCCCCCATCCTGCAGGAACCGAGGCATCCATTGTTCTTCTCTGCCTTCTTGTGGTGATATGCCAGGTTCTATAAATCATGGTCCAGGCTCCAAATAGGACCAAGTGCCCCTCACGTCAGGCTGATTGATGATTGCCTCCTTTTCTCCTCTCCCTCCGATGCGCTCTCAGTGACTTTTATTGTTTGTTTGAGACAGGGTCTCCTTTGTAGTCCCGGCTGATCTGGAACTGGCCATGTAGAACAGGCTGGCCTCAATCTCACAGAGATCTGCCTGCCTCTGCCTACCGAGGGCGTGCACCACCATACCCAACCCAAGAGACTCTTTCAATAATAGCAAGTTAAGAAGTTCAAATTTTAGGCTCAGGCCACCAAGAAGTCAGGATGAGAGCCAGTGGCTGAAACCACAAATTGTGTCCGGTCCCCCTTCCTGATTGGTGGGCAGCCAATGGGAAGCATGGAAGGGCCAGAGTGATAGAAGTGGTGGTAGGGGGAGGGAGGGTGGTCAGAGGGCGCTCACCTGCCACTGGCTTCTGCTGGCTCCAAGCCACTTTTCTCACCGTGGACACCCCGCAGATTTCGATCACCGCACGGGCGTATTGACGTCCACACACCTTAATGACTTCGTCCAGCCATTTCTCAGAGACCCGCGCTCTGCAGGGTCGGCTCAGCAGCAGCCAGAACCCCAGGAGCTGGAGCAAGAATCTGCGCGACATCCTGCTTTTCTGGTTATCAGCTTTTGCCAGCTAGTACCCTGTGTTTGCCAGGTGCTCTGGGCTGCTTTCCCACTGGCTCATCCCGGCTTTTAAATACATTAAGCTGTCTGGATCAGTGCCTGGGTTAATACTTCCAGCTCCACCCCTTTCCACCTACCTCCTTGGTATTTTCAGGTGTTGTTAACCTTACACATCTGTCCCTCCCTTTACTCCACCCTTCTGCCCTTGGCCCTTTTCAACTGTTTCACTCTCTGGTCTTGTCCTCAACCCATTTTGTATATGAAAGTTACTCTGTTTTACAGAGCAAGGCTGTACTGTTAGGTCAGCAGTAAGTGGAGACCAGCTGTCTTCTTAGAACTGAAGGTTTTCCATCCTGAGCATTTGCCACACAACTCTCCAACCCCCAAAAGATTGTAGTTCTAGTGCCTGGCATAGCAGCCTATCGTACATGTAAATAGATAAATTGTATGTAAATTTGACGAGAGGTTTGGAAAGCCTGTGACTTTTAACCTGTCTCCTCCTAAAAGGATTGCTTTCATGATTTCTTTTCCTGCAAATTCACTGTTGTGTATAAACTATTGACACCGAATGTTGATTTTTAGATCCTTTACTGCAATTGTTCATCACTTCTCCTAGTCTTGATGGACTGTGGGTTTTCCTATACATAGAATCATACCATCTACAAACGGAGCATTTGGCTCCTAATCTTTCGCTTTGTACTTACTGTTGCCTAATTTTTTGTCCTAAACTCTTTAGTACTGTATTGAACAAGGACAGTGGGAATCAGTATCCTGTCTTGTTCTAGATCTTAGAGGAACCGCTTCCAGCTCATCTTCATCCAGTAGAATGTTGGCTATGGCTTGTTATGGATATAGCCTTTATTGTGTTGAGATATTATCCTTTTCTAACTACTTTGTTTTAAATCATAAAGCAACACTGAATTTTGTCAAATTCTGTTGAGATAATTTTTATGATTGTTGTAATTCATGCTGGTGATCTATTACATTTAGTGATTTACATATGATAAACCATCCTTGTGTCTTTAGGATATATCTAATTTGATCACTGTGACTGATCTTTTTGATGTACTGATTGATTTGATTTGCTAGTATTTTTTGACCGTTTTTGTGCCCATGTTTATCAAGGCTATTCGTCTATAGTTTTGTTTGCTGTGACCTTTTGGTATCAGGGTAATGCTGATCTGGTAAAATGAGTATGGAAGGGTTCCCACCCTTTCATTTCTTTATAATAGTATGAGACTGATTGGTTATTCTCTAAAAGTTTGGTGATAGGCCTGGAGAGAGGACTCACCGGCTGCTCTTGCAGAAGTTTTGGGTTCGATTCCCAGCACCCACATGATGGCAAACAACCACCCATAAGTCCAGTTCCAGGGGATCTGACACTCTCTTCTGACCTCTGCAGCAATTGCATGACATTGTGAAGTTATATACATGCAGGCAATACACTCATACACATAAAATAAAAATAATGAACAAATTTTTAAAAATTATTTAAAAGAAAAAAGAAAGTTTGGTGAAATTCAGCCACAGAACCATCTTGTCCTGGGCTTGTCTTTGCTGGGAGTCTTGCTAGTTACTCGGTCTTTTTACTTGTTATTAGTTTCTTCCTGTTTTCTATGTCCTCATGGTTCAAGTTCAGTAAGTTATCTATATTTAGAAATTTGTCCGTTTTTTTCTTTTTTAAAAATTAGATTGATTTATATCGTATGACCCATACCATAAAAGGCCTTTTTAGGTTTTTTACACCGTTCTCAACGAAGCAACTTAGTATTTTGTAGCAAATCTATGATTTAGCAAACAAAAATACCTCAGTTAGTAATTTCTCAACCTTCAGGTATGGCCATGTACCAACCAGACTGAAGCCTGAAATCCTACAACATGGTTAAAAAAACAAACAAACAAACAACAAAAAAAAAACAAGGCTGGGAATTGAGCAAATATTCCTAACTCCAACTAGAGGATGTCCTAATTAAAATCCCTAAAATAAACTGGACATGGTGGGGCACACCTTTAATCTAAGCACTCAGGAGGCAGAGGAAGGCAGAGCTCTGTGAGCTCTAGCCGACCTGGTCTACAGGTCAACCAGCGCTACATAATGAGACCCTGTCTCAAAAACAAACAAAAAATCTAAACTATAGGAAATAATTGTCAAACATGCATTGTATGCATAGTCCTTCACCTTTGCTACGAAAAGGAATTTGGGGCATAGGGCCAGACTACCAATACATTTCAACATCATTAGTATGTTTTTGTTTTTTTTCTAGAAAATTCCAAAATATTTCTGTATTAAAAATACATGGAGAATGTTAAGCTGCAACAGCACTACTCCAAATTCCCAAGCAGACTCCCATGAAGTACCAAGATGAGACATTTCCTTTTGAAAAATATGCACATGGTCGTTTTGAGACAGGGTCTTCCTGTAGCCCCAGCTGGCCTGGAACTCACTATGTAGACCAGGCTGGCCTTGAACTCACAGAGATCCACCTGCCTCTGGCTCCCAAGTGCTGGAATTAAAGGTGTGTGACACCACACCCGGCTGGCTAGGAGCATGATTCTTTAATGCCAGCAATAAATTGGGCCTTGTCTCAGCTGCATAGAAAACATGTGGCATTATTGCTGGAGTCTGACAGAAGACTAGAAAACGCAGTTGGTGACTGCCCACATGGCTGTGTTTTTAGGTTTTCCAACTTGTTGATAATGTTGCTTAGAAAATGTATAGACTCTAATGGTCCTTTGTGTTCCTCTGGTCTTGGTTGTATAGTAGTCCCAAGTGATCTTTCATCAGCTCTCCTTGGGCCTTGGCTCCATCCCACTGAGGCTTCCAGAGAGCACAAAAGTAGCCTTGACAAGCTTTTCACCCCTCATCAAGGAAGCTTCTTTTTGCTTCTTTGATGAGAGACTATTACAGAGTTCCAGAACTGGTCAAGCACAGAGAATAAGTGCCTGTGAGACACTCGATCCTAAGTGACACACCTTCAATGCAATAAGATGAATGCATCTCTCAGCTCTCAACAGAGAAGTTTCCTTATGCAACAGCAGGTCATTAACACACAAACCCACAACTGGCCAATGTGCAAGGAACAAGAGGCCTCAGAGTGCTTATCCCTGAATAGGACAGCTATTTCAAACCTCTGCCTGTCAAGGCTCAGGGATCATTGTAGAAGAGGAGGCAGAAAGATTGTATGAGCCAGAAGGGGTAGATGACCACAAGGAAATAGTCTTCCAGACACATGATCAGTTACTCATGTTACTCATATGAACTCACAGCAATGGTGATGGCATGCACAAGTCCCATGCAAGTCATAGGGAAGTGGGTAGAAGTCCAAACCCAACCTAAGGAACTTTTGGCAATTGATGGCTACTGGAAGTGGGAGAGATAGTTGTCTTATAAGAATGGGACTCTTGGTGGGCCCAGTAGATGGACCCACACTGAAGGACATTTGGGGACACAAATTAGATTCTATAGGCTGTGTTATATATAAGAGAGAGTACATTAAATTGGGTGAGGGAGCAGTGGGGGGGAGGGGCAGGTAGGGGAAAGGATCTCAATACCATCAAACTATATTGTATGAAAATCACAAAAATTCAATAAAAAATAAAATTGAAAAAATGCTGCTGATTTCTAAATCTCATTACAGTGAGATTTGGGGAGGGAAGAAAGATGACACTCACCCACCTCTGTATAAATTATCCAAAACAAATAAAATTACCATACCAAAGAGATACCTGTATTGCTGTGATTATGTGCACAATTCACAGAAGCCAAAATATGGAATCAATGTGGTATATATACACAATGGAATATTATTAAGCCATCAGGAAAATGACATCCTGTTATTTGTATCACAGTGGCTGAAACTGGAAGACATTATGTTAAGTGAAATAACCAAAATACAGAAAAAAAAAGTACCACATTTTCTCTGTAGAAGTCTGTGTGTTAATTAAGGAAATTTAGTCCATTTACATCCAAAGTTATTTTACCCTTAACTAAAGACTTACTCCTGTCATTTTGTTCATTTTAAAGCTTGTTTTGAATCTTCTCTTTTGTTCTCTTGTTCATTTTCATAGTTTATAGATCATTAAGGTGTGACTCTTTTCTCTCTCGTGTTCCTGTTGAGTTTTATTCTTTTACGCATTTTCATGATGGTAGTTATCTTTCTTTCATTTCTGGATGTAGAACTTCACTAAACATCTTGTGGAAGGTCACTCTAGTGATGAAATCCTTGTTTTTGTTTCTCTTGGGTCTTCATTTCTTTTCTCCTTCATTTTTGAATGATAGGTTTTCTGTAAACAATTTCCCCGATTTTTTTTTTTTTAATTTCAGAACTTAGAATTTGTCAAGGCTGGAGAGCTGGCTCAGCAGCTAAGAACACTGCTCTTGCAGAAGACCCAGGTTTGAATCCCAGCACCCACATGATAGCTAACAACTGTCTGTAACTCCAGTTCCAGGGGATCCAACAGCCTCTTCTGTCCTCCTCGGGCATTGCGTGACATGGGTGCACTTACCTACATGCACGCATAACACTCATACACATAAAATAAAAATAATAAATAAAATATTTTTTAAAAAAGAATTTAGAATTTTTCATTCCACTCCCTTCTGGCCTACAAGGTTTTTCCTGGTAAATCTTCTATTAGACCAGTTCAGGTATCCTGAATGTGACTTCTTACTTTTCTCTTGCAGGTTTTAGAATTTTTCCCCGGTATGGTGGTAGATGCCTTTAACTACAGCACTTAGGAGACAGAAGCAGGAGGCTCTCTGTGAGATCAAGGCAAGTCTGGTCTACATAGCAAGTTCCAGCTGGGGCTACAAAGAGACCCTGTCTCAAAAACCAACAAAAAAATTATTTCAGCAGGGTGTGGTGGTGCATGCCTTTAATCCCAGCACAAAACAAACAAAAGACAGACAAAAACCTAAAACATTTGAAAGTATGTGTATATGTGTTTCTGGGTATGTGTACATGAATGCTGGTGCCCTTGGAGGCCAGATAAAGTCAGAGCCCCCTGGAGCTGGAGTTACATATGGTT